AAGCTCGTTATACAGGATGAATACGTCGCTTGTGCGAAATAAAGAACAGCACCCTCGCAGCCGGAAGTACAATTTCTTCCGGCGCTCTTCGTCTTTCTTGTTAAGTGGGAGAACGCAGCTCCTCTTAACTGGCGCGGAACAGTTTAGTTGTACTATATAAATAGAAAATTAAAAAAGTTCAGATAGTTTAGATTACTACAAAAGTTGATGTATAAAATAAATTGGAAATATTTCAAATATAAAATTATTAAAAAATAAATTAAATCTTCTTCTACATAATTTTAATGTTCAATGTAATGTTAGATATTCTGACACATCATATAAATATCTCTCTTTCTCCATTTTATGATTCTCCAATCTTTCTTTGAATATATACACGAAATATTATATTCATTCATGTTTCCAAGTTTCTTTTTAATGCGATATTTTTTAATAGGAACTTTTTAATAGGATCTAACATCGTATATATAGCCAAAGAGAGAGATAAAATGGCAGATTCTATAACATTAAACTAGGAATTGTTACACATATTATGTGTGCATAACGTGATATAATGTGTAGGAATATTGCTGACTAAGTCACAACTGAATGTACCAATTAAATGTTGAAATTCTACCTTTATGCGTTACTCAGCATTACTTTGAAATTATGGAATTCAAAAGTTAGCGCGAAATATGCGAGAGATATTTATATAAAAGGATTTTATTCGATAGCTGAAAATTTTGTACGTTGTCTATTTTTTTGATAACAATACCATATGACATCTTATTACAAAGTACATTTCTCTCATTTTCATGGTAATTTATTTGCGACGTTGAAATTTCATAAACATTTGCAACGATCTATACAACGTTTATTGTTTAAAATATATTTGAATATTTATTTTCTTGCAGCAAAATCTTTTTTCTTTCATAAAATATACAACGAATTAATATAAAGCAATATTTTTCGAGTTTTAAATAACGTTAAAATAAGTTAAAGTAAACATTTAACAAAACAAATTAAACAAAAAAAATTGTTTATACAATGTATTAAAATAAAGAAAAATTTTAAATAAACTTTTAAAACTAGAAACTATTATTGTTAATTATTACTGTCATGTAGTATAGAAATTTTCCATAGATATTATTTAAAACGTTACTGTTTCCAATACTTCCCTCTAATAGGATTGCACTCTTGTATATAGCTTTTTTATATGCAATTACATTTGCAATTTTAAATCAATGCTCGATATAAATTCGACACACCGATCGATCCGGTAAATTTATACGATCTGTTGTGACACGAGACTTTACATACGCGATATCACGTGTTATCTTCGTTGACTCTCAGACGTTCGCGAATCCTTTCACAATACAATCGATGCCCGACTGACTCGCTTGCAATTTACATACAATCATAATAACCGTAACGCATAACGATCGACGCAGCAGGAGCAGTACGAATAATCTCACCTTTCGATCGACATCGCGGTGAGGGTGACGACCGAGCAGATAGCCGATACGCTTTGCATGTAATGCACCGCTTTGCATAGGAAGATACCCATAGTCCACGTGTAGGAGAACAATTTCGCTATCTGCAACAGAGCAATTACAATGCACGTGAATATACGGAAGAGAAAAAAAAAAGAGAAGTTCTTCGAGTCTAAAAAAGTTTCAATTTATTAAAAAAGTTTGCATCATTTTGCACAACTATGAAAAAATGGGTAGATCCGAAGTAAAGCAGAAAGAACTCGCAATTTCTCGTATGGTTTTAGTATGGTATAACTCGAACTAAAAAACAAATCGCAATACATTCATT